TATATATATATATATATATCCTGTGATCCTTTACAATCTGGGAGACCACATTTTGCAGTAGGTCTGTCAAGAGCGTGACCTTATGATACTGCTTCAGGACGATCTTGCTTGCTCGAAGCAATCAGACAAGGCATCGAGAACCGGTAATCAGTATGTCGGCCTTGTTCGCAGAGCGTTCGGTCGTGTAGACCCCTCAATTTTCCACAAAATGTTTAAAGCCTCCGTGCGGCCGTACATAGAATACGCCATCCAGATGTGGCATTCGTGGCAGAAACAACATCTTGCGCTTTCGAGAATTTTAAACGAAAGTCATCCAAGAACGTTAGGGGCCTCTTCCATCTGTCCTATCAGTTTAGCTGGAATTCCCTGGGAATGTATGACAACAACCAAAACAATTACAACAGCAGTACATCAGCCATTTGAGCTGATGTTTCGCTGCCATACAACCATGATGACCTATGAAATAAAGAATAACAAGAAGGAGAGAAGGGGGACTTACCTGAAAACCTTAATGCCCCAAGCAAACATTCAGGGTCAAGGCGCCTACATCTTGTGTATACAACATACCGTCGCAAACAGATGACTATCGTGCAAACATAAGGCGGCATCACCGGAACAGCTTCCTTGCGGCTTTCACTACCCCTCGTCATAATCAGCCATTACCCCGCAGATAACTCAGCACCAAACATACTTTAAACAGGCAATCCGATTAGGAGACGGCAGCAGACACGACACTGGTGTCGGTTGCGAGCTAAGCACAAGGTGAGTCACGTGCACTCCAGCCCGGAAGACGAGACGGACCAACGGCACCCAGTTTGGTCGTCAGGAGCTTCATTTCCCGCTGCCAAGTCAATTTCTGTCCACCTCGAGCTTTGCGCCACCCTACACTTGGCAGACTAAACAAGATTCTCCTAGGTAAGCGGTGACCAGGTATACGTAGCACGTGCCCTAGCCAACGCAACTTATTCAGTGCTATCTGTTGTTCCAGGGAGCTAGCATGGGAGTGTACAGCAGTCGATGTCGTCACTTACTGGGGGAACTCTTCATGGTTTATCATATAATGAAGAACCTAAACCACATTTGCCATCCGCTGCTGGAACTGAACGACAATATCAACCTAAGTAATCATTAGTTAAAGCTGACGAAATATTATAACTAGCTTGAATGCCGTCGTAATCTCTCTCCGAGTGTGTCAGCTATGCAACGCCCTGCCAACTTATGTTGTCTCAATTCCCAACCTAACGATATTTATAAAAGACGTGACGAAGCGTTGTCCCCTTCATATTTTATTTTATAACTTATCAGCAGGAGGCTATATAACGCAACTAAAAGGTGTGTTTTCCAAGTTCCAACGGGATGGATGTAAACATGTTATAATGTAAACACCTCAGCACTTTTGCACACGTCCGAAAACGAACACATTTGTTCATCATGTCTTCTAATATTTTTCTCCCACGGGACTTGTCAAGCATTGCTCTTTTACCTATAAAACACCATACTTCTACTGTTTTGGTCAAAACTCTATATATGTTTGATCTTAGCGACTAGTTAGAACTGACACTTACTTTCATACATTTTTACTCGCATCATATGTTTGTAGACATTTTGCATACTCCGTTTCTAATTAAGATGATTGAACTAACCATTCCCTAGTGACCGGATCACTACTCTAGCTTCTCACCTGATTCATATGGGAAGAATCACTCTGTTATTCTGTGTTCAGTTGACTTGATATTTACGAAGCTCGTGGCAAGGACATCTGAAACCAAACTCTGCCGGCGTAAAAGGATGAAGTCTTTCGTAAGCAGCAGGACACGTAAATGCATGGCACACCTACATAGCCTCCCCGAACGACCATACCTGAGATGTCTACACACTACAAAGAAACAACTGTGTCAAAATCGTCCGGGAGGATAAACTGAAGAACCAATAAGGTCTGGTGGAAAAGTTTTGCTCCCATCCCAAACTGCTATACAGACACGTAAACAACTTGCGCCGTGTTAAGCACGGTATTCCTGCTCTGCACACAGCATGCGGGTTAGCCCAAACCGCACAAGAGGCGGCCAACGTCCTTGGACAACAATTTGGCTGTACCTTCTAAAGCGTGCAATCATCATACATCCTGCCTAAGCAGATAACGCCGCCATCAGGGCTTAATCACATATCGTTCACCTCCGCAGCCGTACTGAAGAGGCTGATGTCTCTGCGCGAGTTCAGCTCCCCGGGTGTGGACGGTATTCACCCGAAGGCGTTAAAAGTTTCTGCCATGAGTTTGGCAGGATCAACAATGTCTGAACGAGATGCACGTCCCCACGATGTGGAAGCACGGAATCATCACGCCAATCTACAAAAGTGGTAGTCGTGCTGAACCAGCAAATTATCGCCCGATAACACTACTTCCTGTGATCTCCAAGGTTATGGAGTCCATTGTAGCTGGGGCTTTGATGAGGTACCTGGAAAACAACACAATTCTCGTTCCGGAGCAACACGGATTTCGCCAAAATCGCTCCTGTACCACTAATCTGTTGATTGCTCGTACAACCTGGACGGGATCTGTGGACGTTGATGTGGGAGTCGACGCGGCCTACTTGGATTTCTCAAAGGCATTCGACCGTCTATACCATCGCATTCGCCTCCACAAACTCCGGATATATGGAATCGGCGATCCTGTTCTGGGCTGGATAGGAGACTTTCTTGTGCAACGTCACCTGAATATGAGGGTTCGAAGCAACCTGTCGGAATCCATCGAAATTCAGTGCGACGTACCTCAAGGCTCAGTACTTGGACCCCGCCTGTTCCTGGTTTTCATAAACGATCTCGCGAGTGTGCTATCTCCTAACGGTTTGCTATTTGCTGATGATATAAAGGTATGGCGTACTATAGCTGCAGTGGAGGATCACACAGTCTTACAGGAGGACCTGGACAAAGCGTACACATGGTCCATCGAGAATATGCTGCATTTCAACGTCACCAAGTGCAATGTTCTCAGCATACGGCATAAGAGTGTGCACAAGTACCGCCTAGGACCACAAATTCTACAGCGGGCTTCTCACGAGTGCGATCTCGACGTGATAGTTCAAGACGACCTCGGTTGTTTGAGGCAGACTGAAAAAGCAGCTAAGAAAACAAACCAGTACCTCGGCCTTCTTCGCAGAACTTTCGGGAAGTTTGACCCTTCAGTGTTTCCAAAAATACTTAGTGCGTACATGAGGTCACACGCGGGAAACGCTATTCAAGCGTGGCAACCCTGGCTCAAGCACCATCTTACCGCGCTCGATACTGCACAACGCAGGGCAACGAAGAGCGTCAGAGGTCTGACCAGCCTCCCATTCCCACTCAGGCTGAAGACTCTCAAAATATACAGTGGACGTTATCGGCGTCTAAGGGTTGATCTCATAATGGTGTACCTGATCCTGAGAAACCCCAACCATCCATGCCATTCCCTTCTAATACTCAGTCAAAACACCCCGCTAAGAGGTCGCCAGTTTAAGTTGGTCACGCAGCACAACTGACTGGAATGTCAGCGAAACTATTTATCCCTGCGAGTGTCACAGCCTTGGAACGCCCTCCCGGAACATGCAATTAATGCACCCACCCTATCCCTTTTCAAAAAAGGCCTTGACGATACTCTGTCACATTTACATTACATGCTATAGCCCATGACCACCAGATTCTGGCACTAATGCACAAAAGACAGTGGATAGTGCCATAACCCTACTCGAGAATGACTCACTCCAAACCCCTTGCACAAAATTTCGTAAACGCTCCTGCTATAGAAACTGGATTTCTGTATCCTGTCGACCCAAGATAGTTGCACACAAGTAAGCGTTGTCCTTGCTATTTTTTTATTTTTTTCTCGCCTATTACGTGATCAATAACCACTCCCCTTATTGCTTTGTGTGCGCACATTCTCATTTCAAACTTCCTTTATACGACAGTGCAGCTACATCTGTAAGCGCCCGAACTGACGACTCCATTATCCCTTGATCTATCTTTTCTCACTCTAATCACCCTACGGGATATGTCAAGCACTTGCTTTTTTACCCGTTATGAATCATTGTTCATTGAGCATGATGGTTGAAAGCACTAACAGTACCACAGTCCGAGAGAGTTTGCTAGGAACCAGAGCCCGATGTGGCTTCACCAATGAAATGTACTCCACAAAGGTTCACAGCCGGAGGATCTTTTCTCCTCCTCCTTGATGGTAAATGCTTAAGGTGGAAATACAATTTTGATCTAAAGGCGGTTGGGGGGTTGAACGTTCCGGCCAGGTTAGAGGGCAATAATCCATTTGCACAAACCTCACTCTTAGCACATTCGGTCTTGCTATGTCACTGGAAATGTTTAAGCCGAAACCACAACCGTAATACGTCGTTCTTTCTGATCATTCAACCTTTATATATTTCGAAAAAAAACATATAACTACAACTGGCATTCCACACACTTTGCGGTGCCAGTATTGCTAGTGAAATTATAGGGTCACTACAGCGCGGGTACTAAGTGAAGCAACTTCACTCTGGCGATATCTCGAACAATTACTACGGGGCAATGGCATTACCACTTTCGTCAAATGATTCCTGAAATGACAGTCAGTCTCTGAATAATATATGTACCGACTACTGTGTTCTTGCCTCTTCCGCGATGTGCACACCATATCAAACACTCCAACAGGTTTTTCTGCCGCCTCGATAACTTGGAGTCATAAACTAAATGTTAGTCGCTACTATGCGGAAGCTGACATCTACCGTGGAAATTGGTATGTGCCCTTATTTATCTAATGAACCACACAGTTTACTGTTCAGCCATTCTTCATAATCCAATCATTGTCACTATGTGCACGTTGGGATCATTCAATTTCTATCTACGTGACCCGACTGTCTTTTCTACTTTTTACTGTGTATGTAGTTGTACAAAATGTTACAATTTGTATTGACTGGCGATTTTGCTGAATAGACAACGAAATCGAATTGCTATTTCCTTAACTGCTCTACGCGCTCTAGACCATTTGATTATTTTATTTTGGCAACCATCCTATGTAACTGTCTCGCGCTGGCGTTTAATCATCCATACCCGGGAGAAGATTCAAATGCCGTCAATCAGGTTTTGGTGAGTTAATTCCGTTAATCGTTTTACCTAGTTTTGCATCTCTCATCATCGTCATAAATACACGATAGCTGAGGGTGAGAAACACACCTTAGCTAATGTGTCGCAACACACAATATATAAGATACCGAATACTATAGGAAAGTAAAAATTAACGGTGCTGAATAGCATCTTACGCATCAGGATGGACAAAGAAACTGATTACACAAACGACATTATGGTTGGCTCCTCTCCATGTCAACAAGTGTATTCAGCCAGATATGTTCGTCGTTCTTCGGACTCCAGTCCGGAAGTCGGGAAACACCAACCGACATCAACAAAGTGCGAGTTTTCATTCCTCTCGACCAAGACCATGTTTGTACTTCCCTCTTCCTCTCCTTCCATCCACACCCCGATCGCACAAACAACGCACGTCACCGGAATTCGTATGCTGGCATGTGCAAAACGGAGCATGATGCGATGTATAAGGGTGCTCAGCTACACGCCTGTTCTTCTTGTACCAAATACACGACCCCGCACGCGTTCATTGCTCACGCGGTGTTCTCACCAGACATGAGCTAAGCTGCGAAGGCAGTGATGGCCAAAGGTAACAAGTCTCTTTATGTCTGTCGACATATAGCATACCTTCAATACATGAATTGCAGCTGTATCCAGGTCAGCTGGTTCACACGTCAGGTAACACACACATGAACTTCAAACAACCCTTAACCTCATCAGCAAAAGCGGTACGTCAGTGCTCTGCAATCATGCTTTTTTGTCATATAATCGTAAATTAATACAGGCGACACTGGGGAATCGTTGAAGGGAAATCTAACGGTGGCCAAAATGCTTTACGTTGTTGAGACTATCCGTCTAAAAATCCGGTTGCTGCCTAAAGATATATTGTCCTTGATGATGTATCTTCTTTGTGGCGTTCATTTCCCCGCGTTATCATCAGCCATTGATCGCTCAGCACCGTACATGGTGTATCAAACAGCCAGACAGGCAGATGCTTACTGCGGGTTACGTGCTATTTCCTGCAGTTTTTTTATACAAATACCAGGGTGGTTGGGGATGACTCTCTCCTGAGTAGTAAAACGAACTGACGGCACTCCACCTAGTGGTTGACCCAACTCTTCCAGATCAATTACTTCAACCCCTAATTTTACGGCATGCAACACAGAGTATGCAGAAGGAGGTCGTCCTTTGTTAACGGTGGCCAAGTATATTTCATACTTTAGCGAACCAGAGCAGTTTACTCAGTCCTATTTGTTCAAGGAACGAGTTTGAGTTGATCAACACCCCTCATACCACCTCGTTGTTGTGGGGTAATCGGTAAAACCCGACACCAACGCTTACAAGGCAACGATGGACTGAGATCTTCAGTCTCATACGGATGGGTCATACAGCAGCAAATTAAACATGCCACAAATGTCTTTCTGTAAAGCGGACCTTAAAGACCGGACGAAAACTTCCTCCTTCGCCAATTATGTCTGATTGTTGCAAATAGTCTACGGGGGTCATCCATCCCTCTTGGCCCCCGTCCTTTGATTTAAAAAAAGGTCAACTAGGGTCCTCGGTCACTTCACGGACTCCTCTCCCGCTGATTGGCTGTTTGGGATCACAATCGTTTCTCTTGCTTTATCCAAACAGCTTGTCTGATCACCTGAATGTACGACCCACTGCTAACTTATTGTGCCATAAATAGCACCTATGATAGCAGAAAGCCCGTTTCACCAGAACTAGCTTCTCCGTTAAAAGCAGAACGAAAGCAAGGTTGGAGGAAATTCCGGTGGACTTGTCTATCCACTGGGCCACCATAATTTCATAAGTACCAGTCTGTGGAATCACTTGGTATGTTTTCAGGCAAGAGTCCAGTAATATCAGAAGCTCACTACCCATGACCAGAGTTGAGCAAGATCTTCCAAGACTGGCGGCGCTTAAGGATACACTTACGCTGTCTGCAGTTTATGGCGCTGCAGTTCAGTTGGCTTTATTACTGGCCAATTACTGAATGGATCCGAGTATCACATCGAGTTCCATGGTGTTTAAACCCAACTCCACTCAGGAAGGACCGACGTTCGCCGTGCAATTGCAACGAGCGCTCAGCATTTCTAGTGCGCCTGAGATTAGGTACAAAACATGTTATTAACACAGTTCCTCCGGATGTAATTTAGCTTTTATCTGTGTTGCGACTAGATCCATTTCTAAGTACTTGTTATCAAACTCTAAACAACGCCATAGAAGAAAGGCTTGGCAGTACCAGGGTTACGTTTGGTTGGGGATGGACAGTGATCATAAACAAACGACTTCCTCCATGGCTCGGTGCATCCCCCTGCTAAGTTTCACAAAGAGGGCTGCATATGAAACACGGTCCGCTTGGAGTTAGAAATTAAGTTCACTACAGTTCGGATTGCAGTGTTGTTTCATCATTCATGGACTTGCGCCAGCTGTACGGACCTACATGCCTAGAGTAGCTAGTTTGAGTGCAGGTACAGCCTAATATCCCACATGTTTTAGAGCAAGCGCGAAAAACGCAACCGATATGATTGGATTGTTAACTCCGGCTCATCATTTTGACGGTAGGAGAGTATTGAGCATGTGGAAAAATTTCATTTGTATTGCAGCTATGATCACGTGAGTCAACGACTGTGAAAGAAGTGTTAGCAATGAAAATCGGAGGGTTGATACTCGGGACAAGTGGATAAGAACGAGAGGAGTCAGCAATAACCTGTTTCCTCCTATCCACTGTACTGCTAACGGAGTTTTTGTACACCTAGAAGCAGAAAGACTCTAGATGCACGTTCATTGCCGTGTTCACTGAGTGTATTCGAAAATTCCTTGTGCATCATAACAGTATGCTTGGTGCCTTCAACAGAAGACAGGAATAATGAAAGCAAGACAATGGAACATATAAATATTCTTTGGATGAGCGATTCACCCAACAAGGAGTGTCATTTTACTGGAAGGCTCGATCAGTCTGAGCTATACCCATTACTTCTCCTGGCTAGAGTAGCTTTCGAAGTTCGCCTTACCATACAACGTTGAGTGGACCGAATGACAGCGCATCGCCTTCGGGTTGTTTCGGCGTGATGCTTATAATGTAAGTGCTTATAGCCATACTACTTACAATGGAACAGTAGGGGAATTTGCTTTGTATTTAGCGCATTTCATCGCAACCTGTCTGGATAACAGTTGCACTCCCTGAAGACCACTGGACGGCCTTTACTCCATTTTAAGAATAGCCAGTAGTGCACATCCCATATAACTCCTATGAGACTAGGACCCGCGACCCGACGAGTCTGTCGTTAATTCCACCGGGCCACCGAGTACATGCCTTAGTTGTAAACAGTGAGGGACCTAGAATGCCTGTGCCATAAAGTAGCCGGTGGTTTAAGCTTTGGAAGTCGTTGCTTATGGACTAGTCCCCTATACAGTGGTAACGTGCGAGTCGGTGGATGGTGAACCGAGCAATATCTCGTTCAGTATGGTAGTAATGTCTACATTGCATTATCTGACCCATTGGCCTCAACCATGGACTAGTAACATTAGGTTCACTGGCCTTAACACCCCAGAGGTCACATGGAACGTATACTCTAGGGTACGTCCGGTTGAGAGTTCCGAAAATTTGTGTGTCTAATACATACGTGAGTTGTAGTAGATCTTCAAAAATGATACTTCGTAGATGTATAATTTCATCGCAACCACCTAGTAAGAGGCGGAGCTAAAGGAAAACTACGCATGGCCAACAAATCGAAGCAAGTGGCCCATGGCGGACTGGGCTTGAGGTGAATGGATGGCATTAAGAGGCGCGGAAAACAGCTGTGCTAACGATATAGAAAACGAGATAGGAAAGCAGAGATAAGAAAACATCGACGATCTTTTACCTGGTGGTTTTCTGCAGAGACCTTTGGAGCTACTACACCTACTGCTGACAACTGGATGACGCGTCTGTCCAGTGCCCCTCGACGATGACCGTCCATCCAATAATAATAATGTATTAATTATACTACTATGTATAAATCAGTAACCGGTGGTACATCAACAAACAGCGGACAGCCGAATCCGTCTACTTCGGGAAAATGGATTGATGAGACTGTATTCTTCGTACGATTTCACAAGTATTTTACTTCATTTCACTTTTTTGCTTTTCTTAGGTTTATTATGTTTTAAGCAATTGTTTGTTTGATTTAGATTTTGTTTCTCCAGTCTTGAGAGGAGCAACACCGAAATAATTCCATTCCGGATACAGTCCTTGCGATCGGAATGATCGAGGTCTACCTCAAAGTGAACCGAGGTCTCAATAGAGCTTGCGTCGCAATCCAACCACACCAGGTTCTCCAAGTTTAACTTAGCTTATGCTTTCTTTCAATAGATCAATTCCAACTTTATTTTTTGTGGTGCAGTATTTGAAAGGGGCCCGGTTCACTAACTCTTTTGAACCACTTTCCTCATTCTGAATTCCCCCCTTTGATTACACTATCTGTGTGATTTCACTCACAGCCTATTCGTTTTAAAAAACAAGCGTTTGACCGAATCAGGCAGTTCCTGGACCTGATGACTCATCGTGTAGCGTTTGCGAAACATGATCTGATTAAACTCTGCTCGGCAGATAGCTGTGGTCCCAAATCTTCACGCCGAAGCTCCTTTCTGGGTAGGATGCATTAAGTATGCAGTAGCATTTACCCACAGAAGTCGCGCTTTTGTTGTTCAGGCTGATTGCTACTGTTTGTCTTATGTTTATGAAACAAATCAATTAAACCAAGTTATTCAACATTTTAATGAGCATTCTCAACAACGTGTTTTGTATTTGCAAATCCTATCAAACCGTGGAACTGTGTGATCTTAAGGCAATATGGGATCTCGTCAACACATCACAACGCTTTGGGCGTCATCGTTGTTATCACTTAAGGACAAATATGCCAATGTACTAACCTCTCTAAAGGTGGTCCTGGAAGGAAGAACAAATCCACAAATTTGTACCAATGCGCCATCAGGCATTACAATGGTGTCTTTCTAGAAGT